ACATACACATAAACACACATACATACATACACACACAATCACACATACATACATACATACACACACACACACACATACATACATACATACATACATCAGTGGCAATAGGAATAGGAATCTTGGACTCAATTGTGATCATAAATTGAGGATTACCTGAATTGCTTCCAGACACCAAGTAAGAACCTCCACATTTTCCCTTCTCAATTAGATGAACTCAGTATATGTGCTTTAAAAGAAATCAATACAAACATTAATCAACAAGGAAGGAAATAAACTCCAAAACGACTGCGCCAATTTGTCCTCATTTCCTTTTTGTTCTATTTATTTTAGTGATGCTGGGAATGCCTTTCAAATCTATGGCGGATATAACTTTCTAAAATATTCATTTGCAGCTCAGCTAGCTAGCATAATATAAACTGGAGCCAGTCTCAGCAGAAATACTTTGAATCATCGTGGGACAGCAGGAATAAATGTGAAGATATATTTTGATTCACAAGAGATTTTCTAATTCTCCGAGTCTCAAGATCAAGGTCTCGCATTCAATACAGGTAGCCCTACAGGCAGAGGTTGCTTGCTCCCAGTTCATCGGGTGAACTGGCAACAACAGCGGCGGGAGGCTCCACCCAACTGCCTGGACACTTCGGCACATGCACAGAAATGTTCTGCATGCACGCATGCGCGCACGAGCAAACCGGTAGTAAAAAAATGGAAACTCACCACTGCCTACAGGTAGTTATGATCAGAGGTGATATTCTACCTGTTTGGACCAGAGTTGTTAAGAGAATCACTGCAGTTGTTAAGTTAGTGATACGGTTGTTAAGAGAAACTCATTTGACTTTACTTGTCAGAAAGTCACCAAAGGGAATCACATGACCCCGGGACACTGCCACCATCATAAATATGAGTCAGTTGCCAAGAGTCTGAATTTTGAGCACGTGACTATGGGGATGCTGCAATAATCGTTAAGTGTAAAAATGGTCATAACTTTTTTCAGTGCCATTGTAGCTTTGAACCCTCCAAGGTCCTTCCGATTCTGTTCTTCTATAATTCTTTTTTTCTGGAGGACTAAGTGAGTGATACTGAGCAATTGTTATAGTATTTTACTTAGTTTACTGCCGGTGTTTATATAACATGGCTGATACAGGAGGGCACCTTAACCCAAAACAGCCCTGGTGCTATTTTATGTTTGGTATTTGAATTCAGATATTTGCACAATACGTGGATCTGCAGTAACCCAGT